TCTGTTATTTCAAAAGTCTCGCGTCGCCAGCACTTCGCCTCTCCGCAATTCAAGGAGTAAAGAACTCAAAGAGGAAAGACACTCTTTTACGTTCCCAATAGTTTTATCTTTTAGTTATTCTAAATTAAAAATAAGCTAAATAGGATAACATCTGGTTGATTTTTTTCTCAAGTCTGGAATTAGTGAAAAATAATTCAACTTTTAGGAACTTTTCCAAACTTTTGAAAAACATAAGAACCAATTGAATACGGTCCCATTGCAGTCTTTAGGAGAACATGATCCAACTCTCGGACGTTCCAAAATAGGGACAATGTCCAAGAACCAACCATTCCATGTACATATTGAGGCCCTATGGCATTTACTCAATGTAGACCCCCTCTCTCTGTCTCTCTCAAACAAATTTCACGGTGTAATTAATTTTTATTCAGGCGACAGGGTTCTCTACCCATCTCATTTGTATTTATTACAACAAAATTCTCCCTTCAACACATTTTTCAAAGTTCCTGCAATTTTTTGTGGACAGGTGAATCCTGAAGTTTAATGTTCTCATATAGAAACTCACATTCTGCATGGAGAACGACCGAGACATGGGATAAATGGGCTTATAAGTGTTGCTGCTCATTTGGTGATGTTGAGACGCAGGTGTTGATGTCGTTGTTGTTGTCCCCGGCTGCTGAGAGTTGCTCTCATTAGTGCAGGTGTCGCTGCAAGACCAACCAGTTTCGAGCTTTGCAGTTGCACAAGAATCATCCATGGTAATGGTCAAATTAGCCACGTCGTCAACCAAAGAGAGACTCGTCGGAATGAAGGCCACAGTCTTGGGCCTCTGATGCTTTTGCAAGCCGACTCTCGTGCCGCCTACGTCGCCGCCAACAGAAACGCCGCCGTTGCCAGAAGAGGTCAAGCTTTTGCCGCAAGTCACGCATTTGCTGATGGCCGGGAAGCACTTATGGAAACACTTCTCGTCAGTGTCTCTCGTAATCATGCTGCTGGGCGTCGATGAAGACGATCCGTCTCTTACGTCCTGGTCTGTCATGTAGGCATGTGCAAATTGATACTAATTCAGTCATCAATGCCTTTTTATGAGAATCACAGTACAGTACTACATTTATCCTATTCACAGAGAACTATTTGCACTTTTTTCTGCAGAATTGGGGCAAAAAAAGTGTGGTGTGCATCGTGTGGAAGTACATGTATATCTGAAAAATGGAAAACCATGACACCTGTGGTAGCAGTCACATAAAGGAGTCTCTGGGGTGGGGGGGAGGGGGGTTGAAGTCGCTTCCTGCTGAGATGCAAAAGTTTAAATTGATCACTGTTAGATTCCTCTTTTGATTCCCAATGAGAACCTCATCATGCATGATCAGGTTTTCATTAGGACTTTTCCTCTGTTTGGTGAATCATGAAGCATGACAAGTGTAGCACCTTCGCTATCTTTCTTTTATTCCTGTGAATCAAATTCAAACTATGATCAGCTTGAGGTAGCCCAGCAATACTTGAGAATCAGTATGTGTAAAATCACATACGTTCTCTAATTTGACATGATTAAAACACAGCAAATGTTTCAAGCAGGTCACTATTCTTGTGATAGAAAATGCTCAATGTACCCTGTGCTTCAACAAAGGACTTTGACTATCTTCACCAGCATTGTAGGTTACATAATGCAATTTTTTAGTGCCCAACCAGACCTTGGCCTGATGAGGACAGGTTGTTAAAAAAAAAAATTAATTACATCACTTTACAATTGGCTGCTGATGAAAAAGTATCACGAATGTGCCTCTTCAAGAGACTGTATTTGCTTCCATATTCTGTTAAACAAAAAAATCACATAAGATCCAAAAAATATGTTTTGGATTATCAATCAACATACATTTTGAATGAGACTTATATAATTTATTTTGAAGATTCATAGCTGAATTTGTCTGAGAAAAATCAAAATTTAGAAAAAAAACTGTTTTCCAATTTTTTACAAATTTTGGCAATCTCTTCATCATGAGACCCCATCCAGATTTCAACAAAAATTATAATAGGTCTAAGTGTGCATGATTCAAATTTTCAGCATTCTGGGGAATTGTTATCTCGTGGGGCCTCTGTACATTTGTTTTGAACAGCAAGCAGCACTGGTAGAAACAACAGACTCAATTTGTAATATAAGGGATGTCCCAGTGGGGTAGAAATCACATGGATGTATCTGAATTAGGCAAGACTATGAGAAATGATACAGTCCAGGATGATGATGTAAGACATTCTGATTTTTTTTAGATTTTAAAAATATTTCAATTTACTGCATGGTGACATGTAGGTCTTCACCCATGTCACAGGGTACTAAACAACTTTCAGGCAAGCTGAAAAATTGAATTTTTTGCTGCATCAACATACCCTTGTATATTCCACTTTTCAGAATTTAGATGATGGTAAAAATCAAAACAAATTCCAGAACCTAACAACATCATGGGCTACATAGACAATTTGTGTGCAGTCATATACCATTTGGAAGTAACCAAGGTCGCGCCCAAGTGGGACAACCCTGGTATACGTTGCTAATCATATGTTTTGATATTTTCATTGTTACGTCAGACCCTGAAAAGGACTGGAACCAGGTACTTGGTGACTACCAGCAAAAATAGGTTCCAGCAAAAATCAGGCAATTCCGCGGGGAACTGCGAGGCTGATGACAATGTCGTTGACATCGAGGACAATGACAAGGCCGTTTCCAAAAGAATTGGCGAGCGAATCCGTCGAGTCAACAACGCCATGCGAGTCGTCATCAATAATAACAGCAGACAGGATTTCTACGACGTTGACGACGACCATGATGACGATCATGATTGGACAGTTGCCAATCGAGGAGACTGACTGTCACGCTACACTGAATTGCGTTTCTTCGCATTCATGTATTCATGATATACTTCTCTTGCTTTCTTATTGTTAAAGCCTTCCCCCCAGGGTTACATTTTTTGTCTTCGGGCTCTCACGAGAACAGGATTGTAATGTGGTTTACCTTTGATTGACTGATTGCGATGGCGCTCTAAACGATCATGGGGTCGATATGAGACTGGTTTCCTTCTTCGCTGTTATTTTTTTTTTCATTGGGATGACAACGACTGGAAAATTCGTTTCTTTTGCAAACTATAGAGATTTTTTTTTGCCCAGTAAAGTTGACCTTCCAGGGCAGGGACAGCACTAAAATATTTGAGTTGCTGGAAAGGTTTTGAGCTGAGGAAAGCAGTATTTTTTTTGTGAAGGTAGAAGAAACGCAGAAAATTGTAGTTCGAGACGTACTGCGGCTTGAATTGCTTGTATATGAGTGAATTATTGACAGGATGCGGAAATTTGTGGCATTGGTTCGTTAGCACAAATAATCTTGCACTTCCTCTGATGATGCACCTGAAGTTACATTTTCATAATTATTCACTTTCCTTGATGAATGGAATAATAACCAAAGTCCTTCAGAGAAATGTTAGTCATTTAAGCTTGAATAGGGGAAAGACTTCGAGTTGTTGAGATTATTTCCGTTAACGAATTGATTTCAAAGGAAATTCAGAGTGGACATGGAATAAACAAATTGGCACAAAGAGCTATGTTCGGCTATTTTGAGAAGGTTGGAGTTGTCAATGTACAATAACTGCTGTTCGTGTATATCGCATTTAATATCCCGATGCTGATTTTGTTTTCTAAACTGGAAATGCAAAGCGATGCTGTGTTTTCTTGGAATTCTGCAAGCCACCTTTGTTTCGCACAAAACCCGGATGAGGCAATGTGCGAAACTCGTTCGTATCGAATATAAACGAATGCACGAGAGACACAACATTCCTGAATTTGCGGTCTTTTGATTATCGATCGCATTTATTGTATTAATTTCTGTCTAAACCACCTCCTCTGCGTTTTCTTGTAGAGATTTAATTTTTTTTACGTTTCCGCGCATTATATAATGCGTGCAAGACGAGAACGCGATGAGTTTTAATTTTCTAAGAGACCCGATACAAGAGGTCATTTTCATTCTTCACTCACCTGCGAAGAGTTGTCATCTCAGTGTATAGTTAATGTGTTATATCGATGTACATACGTGATTTTTCACTCGTTAAATTCATCCATGTCCAGCGTTGGAATGTATATCAGTGTACAGTGTTTTCATTTCGAATTACGATTCCTACGTCAGCAGGTTGTACATTTTTAAAATAGTCGCAGTATCATCTCTTGACTGAACGTGATAATGGCTAAATTTTTGCTGGGAGCGATGATTCTCATTTGCTGCTCATTGGTAACACTTCTGGCCGAGCAGCACCGTGGGGATTACTACGTAAGTCCATTGTTACTGTATTCGTGAACTGTCGTGTGATTCTGAAAATGGTAATTGAATTGGATAGTTTTTCATCTTGTGCAATTATATACGAAGTCTTTCGTAACAGGAGCGTATCAGTTTATATACTGTATGCAGTAGTTTCAGCTGGATGATGGGAGTGCAGTGCACTTATGGCTTGCCAAATAGTCTGACCTCGTGGTTTGAATTTATCCCAGTTGACATCCAGTATGAGTTTATTCTAGTGGTTATCGAAATGAGAGGTACCACTTTTTTTTTTTTTTTCCTGTGGTAAGCCATGTCTTTCGTTTTAGTTGGTGGGAATAATCGAGGAAATGTTTTTGGACATACTCCACACATCCAGTTGCAAGAAGCTCCTCTGCCCCGATTACTTCTTTTAAAATTTACAGCAAGAGATTTTCTGAACTATAAGTTTTCCGAACTTGCATAACTCGAAACCTGAGCAAAGATAAATTTTTCTTTGTTCCTATTCAAATTCGACCCGGGAATTGGTCCGACTGTAAGCTACTGTACTCGTCTTGGATATCAATCACTTTTCTGTACAAAAAGGCGGTATTCCTCTGATAACAGAAATCCTGTTGGCTAGCATACAGTCCCATACATTTGTAAAATCCATTCACATTTGTTCTTATCTCTAAAAGAAGTCGGGTTCGTTTGCTTTATATTCCTTGCTCGACACATGTATCACTCGTATTTGGTCTGGCGACGCAAGCGATATCCGTACGAAAACGTTCAACCGCAAGTTAGTCGAGCTGCGATAGATGTCGCTACTGTTATGCCCGTCCTGATTTCACTGAATTCCGATTCGCACAGAGCTATGGACGAGGTCATCATGGACAGCAGCAGCAGCATCATTACGACTTCGTGCCATACTCTGGTCATCATCCACATCAACAAAAGCATGATTACTACGCTTATAACCCGGAATTGGGTGCTTCTGGAGGTCGACATCGTCGAGAAGCACAGGGGAACGACTACTACTCTCTGCCGCCACCCCCGCCGCCACCGCCGCCGTCGTATGGGACGACGACGAAACCCTCTTTTCCGGCTGATTCTGGTGAACACAAAAGCGTGCTCAAGAAGTCGTTCAATTCTTTCTTCGTGCCGACACCGTTGACGGATGTGGTTTTGGAAGTCAAGGACAAGCATGGTTCATCTTACGAACCGGCTGAGGCGTGGAAGGCCGACTGCAATGCCAAATACGGATCTGCGCATGGATTCAAGTTTGGCTGGATCACAGGCGTTGGGTGGGTGCTGGAGGATTTTTATGCCTGTGCAAATAATTCAAGTGGACTCTCTCTACGAACATCTTGATATGCTCACTATGATTTTCTCTGCTTACAATAATTTTCTCCATGATCAACTGATATTTGTATGGTCCAGTAAGGGTTCTCCCATTTCATGAGGTAAGGTTTCTCCACAAAGAAATTTTCTCTTCGAGGAATATTTGAACTAGTCCCTTGTATTTTCTGTGGAAATTGTCAAAGAGCGATTGGTATAAAACTTGTGAAACATTAAGAAGCATATATGTGCATTAATTGTACTTCATTCTAATTGGAAATTTTGAACACATTTTAGCATGAAGACAAATTGTAATGTCTGCATTATAAATTGGCTGGATTTCGTATCTATAGTGAATTGTGAAATTTTATGCTCTTATCTTGAAATATTGCACTTGTTAAATCACTAAAATGTAGTGCAGGTGATACAATGGGGTATGATTATCCAATGATGGGATTGATTGCCGAGACTTCTATGAGGGAATGGACAATATTCAACTTCTGAAATATTTGCATATCCGAGAATGACATTTTTACAAGTCTCGTGTTTATGTATATTATGATGTATGTTAATAGGGAGCGACATGAGGGCTACGAGGCGACGATGAAGACCCTGGATTTTAACACGTGCACGGGGCCGACAAATGGTGATGATTCGGAAAACAAAAAGGATGACTATCCACCAAAACCCAACACCTTCCAGCTGGATTTGAACGAGGTCAGGGTCATCGATTTAACACCGGAAGAACACCCGTATCTGCCGAGCTCCGATTGCCCTCGAGGCTTCCTGCTCACGGGTATGTATAGTGTTCACTATACGTCGTCATCTGAACATGTCGAAATCTCCAAGTGGAACACTGGTATCTCTGCATTTTAATTGTTCGTAAATTCCTTCCTGAAATCCCTACAGTGAATTTAAATCTCACCATCACCTGAAAGAGTTTCTCCCTGAAATCCTTAAATCTTTTTTGATGTTGCATCCACATTTGAATTTAGATATGAATTGAAGTCCACTACAATACTTTTCCCTAAATTACCATGACAATAAACTGTTATGTAGAGATTTGTCCAAATTTTTTTCCATTGGAACCGAATATAATTTATGACTAAACTTCATCAACTTTTCAAAAACGGTTTTCTGTACCTCTGAGCTCTGACAAACCAGTTCTTTTTTCTTTTCATTCGCATGAAATTGTAATTACTGATCTTCAGGACCTTCAATTACTTCCAGAATGAGTTGTCAGGATGTTGAAAGTGAAGGCCAGGGTTTATTTGCCTTGACTCCCTTCAGAATACCATATTACTTGTTTAACTGCCTTTTGCCTGTGTAATGGTAGGTAATACGCCCTGCATTTTAAAATATGTCCATGTTTGAGCCAATCCTGTACAAATGAAACCAGCATCTTCCTTGGATTCAAAAATTTAGAAATCAACTATTGTTCTCATGTATATTGTGGTTCCTCGGCATTTAGGTAAATGTGTTGACATGAATGTGACAAGGTTGCAAAACTAGATATAGGTGATACCTTTGACCCTAATCCATTGCTGGCCTAGGGTCAAATTGCACATCAGTAAAATTTTGAGACTATGTGTCAAATGACATGTTTTTCACGTGGCATTTGATGTTCACATCTTTCAACAGTTCAAAATGCACGGCAGAGTTTGAATTCAGTGTGGACTCCCTCGCAAATTTGACCTACAAATTGTGCGAGGTCAAATTGCTACGCACCACCTGTACCATTGGAGCTTGTATATTGGAATGATGAAATACACACAACAGTTCTCTTACACCACAGCACATCATTCCTATCAATAGTTTTTCATATCTAAATGCGTATTTTCATTTCTTTCAGCCCTCTGGGCCGAGGACTACGACTGGAAGCACGTCAAGTACGGCAAATGCGTGGAACTGGAGGACGGTCTCGTTGACTTCATGACTTGTGCAAATTTTGAACCAGAGCCTCAGAAGGAGAAGCAGGAACAGCATGGATACTACAAGGATCATCAGCCTACATCCTCTTACAATAAGAAGCTCGCAGTTATTGATTGTCCCAGAGCGTGGGCTGCAGTTGGTCTGAGGCGGTCCTATCAAGGCATAGACGCCCTGCGCTGCTGTAAGATCGTGCCGCCACATCCGCTGCCACCACCGCCGCCTCATCCGGCCGGCTACGGCTACCCTGCATAATTGAATCTCTGGCGCGTGATTGTATCGACGGATTGTCGAACTACTCCTCGAATTTTCGGCTGTTCACTTGGTTCAATGGTTGCATCAGTAAAGTTGCAGGGCTGTATACTGCCTATCCAAAGAGTTGGCCATACTTTAGCAAATAGACCAGCTTAAAGTGGCGCAGCTTTTGTTGGCTATTATTTGAATGTGAACCATCAAATAGAAGAGTCCCTGTAAACTCCAAAGGAGGACCTGTAAGTCCCCATAAACTGCATCAATACAAGAATTGAAAAGCAAAACAAAGTTTCACACTGCAAATTTGAAAGCTAAATGCAAAAATTGAAAGAAAAATAAATTTGAATGCTAATTAAAATAAAAAAACCAAGAACATGAAACTTGAAACCAAAAGCAAAGCAAAAGGATGCAAAACTTGAAATGAAAAGCAAAAACAAATAAGGAAACTTTAAAACAACAACAAGAATTTGAAAATCAGAACCAAGAAAGGATTGCAACATTCAACAAAACCATGTAGATCAGAATCAGAAAGCTTGAATTTGGCAAATCTCAAAAAATTTCAACAGGGAGCAGGGGTCCCCCTCAAATAGATTTTGTCAGATCAGGTTTGAAATAAAAATTCTATGATGCAACCAACAGCAACCAAGAAAATGAAAACTTGAGCAACCATCTACGACTTTTGAAGCAATCTTTGAAGAACCCTGCCGTTTAACAAGTAATGCATCATCAACATCTGAATATGCATATTCTGAAAGATTAGAAAAGCACTAATCAGTGACCTCCTACAAATGTTGACTTTTTATTTTGAAAGTTTTACCTTGATGGTATGTCATCTTACATATCATTATTGACATGAGTAGTACTTGAATTACCAGAAAAAATGCTGTATGAAGTCTTAAATCAAGCAAAACTCTTCAAACAAAAGTCTTCATTGCAAATCAAGCAAAGATCTCATGCAAAACTGTCTGAAAAACTGGCAATAAATTCAAGTCAACACAACCTGGACCACAATGAAAGAGCACTCAGGCCAAAAAGACCACCTTCATGCAGTCTTCATTGAAGAAAATAAAGCCAATTCAAATTCCAAGCTTTGAACTTAATCAAAATTGTCAAAATGGACCAATGCTGAACAATGCTCAGTGGTTCTGCCTTGAACCAAAGAAAAATACCAATTTGGTAGATTGCAGGACCCCAGCAAGTCCCCATAAACGCTAAGACATTGAAAAAAATACCAATTTGGTGGAATGCAGGATCCAAGCATGTCCCCAGAAACTGCTAAGACACTTAAAAAAATATCAATTTGGTAGATTGCAGGATCCAAGCAAGTCCCCATCAACTGCTAAGACATTTCAAGGAAACTACCAATTTGGTGGAATGCAGGACCCCAGCACATCCCTATAAACGTCTGACATTTGAGGAAAAATGCCTACTTGGCAGCAATGTGGACCTGAGCATGTACTCCAACAAAACTGCCTCTGAATCAAGCAAGCTGACTACTGCAGTCAAATCAAAGCAACACATTTGGAAGCCAGATGCTGTCAACAAGAATTGTGCTAGCACAGATAAGTACTTGAACTTTGCACAATTGTATAGTGTTTTGTTAATCAGAGTGGAAATAGGCCTGGCCAGCCTCTGGATACTTGTTCTGAAATAGCTGTCTCAAAACCTCTTTGCCTAAAATTGAAATCTCATCTGACCTCTTAGCAAAAGGTGACTGCAGTGACTGAATTGTATCTATCAAAGGACTCAAAGCAGCTGAAAAGGTTGCAAGACTACCAACATTAGGCAAGATGAAGAACTTGGACCAAGCCATTCAAAGGGAAGCAAATTTGTGAAGCAAACAAGCATATTTTGTGTTCATGTTTTCTTGCATTCCATCTTGTGTGAAATTTTGTTTTGCATTTTTTACCTCCTTTTTCTTCCACTTCTTAAAATGACCTCTTTGTCAATGCTCATTTTAATAAGTGAAAGGGGGATTTGTGTCAGGAAAAAATGCCAAACTGGCACCAGTAAAAATTAGTAAAAATCAAAAGATTCCCAAAAAGCCTGGGAACCTACCAGAAATTAGATTCTCAGGCTTGGCAAGGACAAATTCTTTCACTAATCCCTCACTGACCACTCTCTCTACAAGGAAAAACCTGGAAGCCTTGAGAGAATGGTCCTTGAGGAGTGAGACAGAAAGGGTTCAAGCTTGACCTTCAGACCTAATCCACCCCAGAGATACTCAGTGGGTTTTTTCTCTCAGTTTTGATTGTGCTTTTGACCTGGGCAGATTGTTGGAGTGAAGCCAAAACTAAGTCTTGTGCAAATTGCGAATTTGTTGACCATTCCAAAGTGCATTTTTCTGTCTGAACTTGGTATAACTTAAAGCAATACTCTGAAATACACCAACATTGAACTAGGACTCTTACAGTCCTCAGACTGGCTGATTGGGCATTTCTACTCATTCATTCCAAATTCCTTCCGGCAGTCTAATAATCTATTAAACCTGTTAGCAATTCAACTTTGTGAGTTGAATTTAATTCCTCACCATCTCCACATCACCCCATCAGGTTTTTTGAGTCCTGCATCCTGTCTCAATAAATATGGCAGACCGACTTGCCTGAGGGCTTCTGGATGATCACCACTCATCACCTAAGTGGATTTCAGCACCAACACAAGTTTGAAAGAAATTAAGACCTATAAATCCACCCAGTGTAACAGAGAGTAAAACATCAACCACAACAAACTCTTTCATGGTCCTTCAGACCAGGTGTTTTCTTGGGTTGGTTGGTTTCTGAAGTGCCATGCTCAAACATTTGCCTTGCAAGTCCTGTTGAAAATCTCCAGGCCAGCCCTCAGAGTTGAAAAGTCCTGAGTGTCAGTTCAGGCCAGTCCACTGAGTACCATAGTGGCTGAAAAGTCCATTGCCAGTGAAGTGCCAGAATTGCCATGTCCCATCTGTTGGGATTGGAATTCTGCAGTGTCACCTCTGACAGTGGGAAAAGCGCTGCCTACAAATGTTGAGTAACCAGAAGTCACCAAGCATTGTCTGCCAAGGAACAACCCCAAGAGGGCAAAAAAGGAGCCATTACTTGCCGGAAGGAATAATTCAACAAGCAACAGAAATCCTGCTCTCCATTGAGGAATTTTTTGGTGAGTCAACAACTGATTTAAGGCGTTGGCAAAAACTTCTTGGTAGGGTAGATAATTGGGTTGGAAATGGCAATAGGAGAGTCCTAGAGTTTAAAGACCCCAGTAAAGCTAAACATTGCAATTCAAAGCATTTGGGAGGATGGGGCCAGACATATGAGAGTCTGTTGATGCAAAAGAAAAGTTTGGGATTGTTTTTGGCTGACCTTACCTTGGCAGCTGGGAATTCTTTGCATCCAAGTAGCCTTCCCAAAGGAACTTCATCAATGGAAATGGGTGTTGATAGTGGTAGGAAGAAACCTATTTTGCAAAAAATAAATACTGTTGCATGCACAAATTTGTCCGCAAGTTGAGCTGATTTTAGTATTCCAACATAATGACTGAACTGGGCACAAAATTTGTTGAGAACTGTTTCAATTGAGGTCTGCTGAGTTGAAATTGTTGGATGCCAAGTTGACCAATTTCTGGGCAAAACCACATGAGGAAGTAACCTATTGGCAACTTGGGCAGATAATTTGCAAAGTGGACAAAATGTTTCTGATGAACACTATGAAGAAGCCACCTCAGAAAGCAACTTTGATTATTGTTGTTGTGCAAAGGGGTTTTACAATCAATACGAAAATTTAATTCGTATTGAAAACCTTTAAGAGGATAACCACAATTTTGCCAACAATATATTTATTTTTAGGTTCAAAACTCTTTTACCAGGTGGATCCCAAGACCAAATACTTTGAGTATTCAAGACAATTTTATGACAAATAAACACACGCAAGTTTGACTTACAAGTATTTATTCAGCTCCGATCTGGCATCTGCTTCAACCCTGCTAAAATAGTTGCCATCTAGAATTTCCTATCCCAAAGGAAGTTAAGGGAGTACAAGCTTTCCTGGGTTCAGTTGGCTATTTCCAGTCGTATATCCACAATTTTGCCAACAATATATTTATTTTTAGGTTCGAAACTCTTTTACCAGGTGGATCCCAAGACCAAATACTTTGAGTATTCAAGACAATTTTATGACAAATAAACACACGCAAGTTTGACTTACAAGTATTTATTCAGCTCCGATATATAAGCGTATACAGCTCTCTCTCTGAGGGTATCTTTACCACTGCTTTCTACTGGGCCTTGCATGGCTTTTTATTAACTCTAGAAAAACCAGACAGTACAGGGTCATCACTCGGCGATGACCATCCGACCAGACAAAGAAAGGAGACACACACGTATTCTGCAACATAGTATTCGTTAGATTTATGGGGCGGTCGACCGCCTGAAGCTAATAACAATTAGGACAGGTAACGAGGGAAACTCAGTTGCGCACGCATGCGCAGCCGTCCACTTTAATGAGTGGGGCAAGGGGCGAAGGAAAGTTAGAGCACAGTTTTAACCAGCTGACAACATTAAGAAGACCTTGCTCTGCTTGTAGGGCAGGGCAAAGATTTACTTGATGAGGCTCAGGCTGCCTTGGAGCAGCAAGGAGTCAGAAAACATGAGAATATATCAAAAGGACTGAGACCAGAAAATGGTGTCATGTCAGAAATGAGTCTGATGCTGAGGTACCTGGGTGAAACTGGAACCCTAGCTCTGAATCCCAAAAGTGCAGGAGACTGGCAATCTCCCTGACCCAATAGGGCAAAGGCCTGGCAAACCTTACAGCCCCAAAGAGCAGAGAGAAGAAACTTCCTCTGACTTGGATTATGAAAATGAAGGATCAGATGATTACTTCCTCTCAAATACAAAAGAAAATAGAGGTGGCAACTCCAGAAAAGACAATTTGAAATTCCTAACCAGAGTAGTCAGTAAATGGACAAACTAGGTGGGAAATACTGCTAAGGCAGTGAAAGAATCTCTGAAAAAGAAAAAAGAGGGTATCATCTGGTCAGACCCCATTTTAGAACAGAAAATGATTTTAGAAAAACCATTCAATATCAGGAGTGGAATGACTATATCATCCACAATGTGCAGAACAACCCAAAATATTCAGAAACATAAAAGT